AAATCACACAAGTTACTTCCTCTTCTGGAAGCTGGGAAGCTCTGGAAAATTGCTTCCTGTGGCTTAGCACAAGAAAGCCTGATTGTTTGATGTACGTGCCTCTGTTCCCATACTAATAGTACCTCTACAATAACAGCATGAGATGTCCAGATTTCATTTTATGGTCCTGCTGTCCTCGGAGTTCATAAACTGCCTGCTATTCAGATAGCTATTTCCACTAGAAGCATTACACAGTACTCTAACTGACCCATTTCTCTCTTGAGAAACACTAATTTTGTAATAAAGTTCTTAGCCTGACCCAACCACCCATGAGTTAAGGATTATTAAGGATGAGAATGTGACACAACATAAAGCAAGGACAACAGGAGTGGAGGAGGATGCTGACCATCAATCCTGATGAGGCCAAAAGGCCCCGATGTTGGCCGGCTCTTCAGGGACGTGAGAACGCAACGCATTTCATCCTCTACAAACTCGCCTCCTGGCCCAACTGTAGGTAGGTGGGTGGCAAGTACTTTTTAATAGTCACTGTGCCAAACACACCATCTGCAAAGTACTGTTATCAGCAGGTACTGACTGTCCCCTGCAGTAGGTTGTATTTGAGCACCGTGGAAATTGAGGGGCTGCCAACTTGATGTTCTCATTCAAGGTGACGCTTCTAGAGAGCTGCAGGCTGAGGCTTTAACCACGGCTTGTCACCTATTTCTGGTAGGTGAAGACAGTGACCCCAGTCGTGTGCTGAAGGGGAGGGGAGGGGCTGGAGGTTGTTTCCTTTGTCCCGCCTCGTAACCAGCTGCTTGCGGGGAGCCTGGGTGGGGAATCCACTTGCAGACATGCTTCTGGGCAGGTCTCCCAGGGTCACTTCTGCATTTTGAATCCGCCGTGGCTCCTTGTTTAGGCTTCCGACGCTGTCCTCCTGCTCCCCTTCTTGACTGTCACCCATTCTTTCCACCTGGGCTTCTCTGCACCTCAGTTCCACACATCTCCCTCTCCCCATCTGTGCCTAAGTGGATTTCCACTTAGTTTTATCTAGTGATTTTGTTTCCAACTTATCTACAAGTAGAACAGACAGGAGATTTAAAAAAATCTCCAGCCTTATTCTCTATGTACTATTTAGGTATTTAAACCAGGAGGCCCTTAGACTGAGGTGGCTCCAGTGTGTTTGTTGGAGGCCTACGTCTGAAACCTGAGCCAGAGTCCATGCACTCGAATCTGAGCAAGTGAAACTTAAGAACCACCAATCACAAACAGCCAACCACGCTTTCCCAAATAAGGCAACTTGCTGTGCTATAACCACATACATTTTTTGCTTTGCTTTAGCGTCTTCTCTATAAAAACCTTGCCCCTAGGTCCTGTCAGTGGAATGCTCCTACCACCTTCAGTTTGGTGCTGCCTGATTCAAATGGGTGTGTGCTCGAATAAACACTTGAAAATGTTAAGGTGCATCAGGTTACCGTTTAACAGTATCCTATACCCTTGGTTGCTGAAATCACTCAGTATTCCTCATATGTGGCCTGTAATTTTTGGCTTCTATGCCTTTGTAGGTGCTGTTCCTTCAGCCTGGAATGCCACTTTCCTAGCTTTCAAGGTCCAAATCCTTCCTATCTTTAAAAATCACCACTGTCAAGATTCTCACAGCTCCGTGGCAAATGAGCTAGCTGCCCACTGACCCATCTTCTTAGCGTTTTTATCTGTGTTTCTCTTATGACCCATGACACGAGCTTGTGTTATCTCCCTGATTAGACACATGTGGCAGGGGAAGGCTCCCCCCATCTGATTCGTCTCTGAATCTCGCACACGCTCTGCTGCTGTGCCATCCCAGAGCAGGCAGGAATCTGCCGACAACCAAATGAGCGACTGTACGCGCCTGAACACCGGCCTCCGTCAGTCTAAGGACCGTGAGAAATGCGGAAGGGGACAACGGCTTGGTTTCCGCTCTCCTGAAGCTTACAGCCCAGTCACAGCAATTCAGTTAATACATAGTAATCAATAAAAAGCAATGGAAGATAAGAACAGGATTACTGAGAATATACACTAGACACACTCTAAGATGTCAGAAGAGAGGTTCCTTTCTATAAAACTAAATTGGGTCTTAGTAATAGGTTTATTTTGGATGGGTGAAAAGATGGGCATTCTAGGTGAAGATTAGGACAGGAAAAGGCTCGGGGGGAAGTGGCCCTAACATTCCCCACATCTCTACTCATGCTAGGACCTGGGCTAAGTGCCTTGTCCACACTGTTTCATTTGATCCGTACAACAGTCCTGCACAGCAGATAGCATCACTGCCATTTTATAAGTAAGGAGGCTGAGGCTTGAGGGGATTAAGTAACTGGCTAAGGTTACCCAGGATTCAGAGCCGGGCTTTGAAAAAGGCAGGCAGCTTCCATGGCACCATACTGATGCCTCCAGAACAAAACTTAAATATCACCAGGTGTTTTCTTCAGAAATGGGGACTCTTTGTATTGCTAAATAACTGAAGTGGTAAAGCAATACACACACTGTGTAAGACGTGTGTGGCCCAGTACAAGTCAGCTGACTCTGAATGCAAGTCTGTCCATCTAGAAAGAAGCAAGAAGGCTGATCAACCAGCTGCCAGTGCTCTGGGCAGAAATCCCGATAGAAGGCAGCCCTGGGACTGGGGAGTAACTCCAGGCCACCCATCAGGAAGGCAAAGAAGAGACAGTTTGGATTAATATCACCACCCCAGTCTGCGGCAGTTACAAAGGAAGAGAAAGTATCCAATGGAATGTAGCTTAGTCGTAATGAGCATCCCTCCTCAACGTGATGAATAGGAAAGAAAATGATGGGAGCCAACATACTTGGTCTCGTTGGCACATCGGATCTTGCAGCCTTCCTTGGGAATCACCAAGCCCAGGTGCATTCGGAGCCTGCAGTTTGTTGGCCCTGTGTGCGGCCACACGTGAGTTCCTGGGTGCATGACGGAATATTTGATCTGTGCAGAAAACAGAACACACCGTTCTTCCACTTACCAAAGTGTGGGGGAATTGCTAAATTAAAGTGACAGTATAAAATTATTGTCAGTTTGGATTAGAGCCTCTGTAACACTCTGAATTAATATTCTCATCTTATCTTGGGAAAGGAACTAAAAATAAGTACTCCCATTTTCCACAAAGCGATACACACTGAACACTTTCCACCTTCAATTCTGACGTCAACCACATGAAATTATGTTTCATTAAAAGAGAGTGAAAAAAANTGCTTGGTCTTATTGCCTGGAATGGAAAGGACAACAGTTCCCATGTCTGCAGCAGACAAGAGGCCAACAAAAGCTCAAATACACTGAGTACTATACTTTGCAAATACAGTTCTGAGTGCATTTATATGGATTACATTAATAACTAAAACCACACAAAGACATACTCTTATTCTTCCCATGTTACAGATGGAGAGATCAAGGCTTAGAGCGGTTATGCAAGTTGTCTGACGCTACACTTAATAAGAAGGAAAGCCAGGATTTGAACCCAGGTCAGGTGACTTCAGTGCTCTTAATTTGCTTAATTTGAAGATGCATGATGTTAAAATATAAAGAACGAACTCAGGATGCATTTTTCCCATTACCAAAAATAGTTACTAGTTCAAGAGCCCCATTAATAAAGATTAGGAGTTAAAAGCATTTGGGGGCCGACCCAGGACACGGCACATCATTTGATATTGCCATGGGAAAATGGATTCCAGCTCTCCAACTTCGCAACCTGATGGTTGTTCAATGAACAAATGTTTGAACACAATTTATTTTCAGTGTAAGAACTGCCATTCCCTGTGGAGGTGCAGATATGTATTTCTGCTTATAAAAAGCCCTAAACACACCATGCTAACCAGAACAGGGGTTAAGAAACTTCACTGATGTTTTTAATTCAACAAAGTTGCTCAAGTGAAAGAAAAAAGAGGACAAAATGTTACTATTCAATAACAAACATTCAGGAAAGATATCCAGCTAAAAATGTCTCTTTTTTTGGTCCTATAATCCCAGAGGAGGGAGGCTTGAATGGTGATTTGTGGATAGGGTCACATTACAATTTGAATGGAAGATGGATACATTTTGTAAAACACAAGATCCATGATTTCAAGAAAACTAACCATAGAAAAAAAAAGATGAAAGAAGGGGCAAAAATATTTGGTTCTAAATGATTTGGTTAATTCACAGCTTCTATAACGTGATTAGAAAATTTTAAGACGTATTTTATCTTCTTGGACACTTTATGAAAATAAAACAAATATCATCTATGAACGATTCATGATGGATTAAAAAAAATTAAGTCTCTCTTTTCCTGTTAATATTTTAGCATGCTTTCCACACAGTATTCCTAAATGGAAACTTGAGAGATTAATGGAAAAAAAAATGTCATAAATACTTGAGGTATATTGGAAGAGGCCATTATCTCGAAAGCAATACAGAGAGGAATTCAGTGACTTATTGCCAATTCATTTCTTCAGCCTGTCGCTGACACTAATGACAATGCACGCTTTCTTGGCTACATATCAATCTTGTCCAACATTTCAGGCTGGTCATTTGCAGGCAATAATGCCGAGTCTCCAGGAGAGCACGCAGCCACTCTCCTGTCCCTTCGCATGGTTCTAGAATGTTCTGAAGGCTCTCTTGGAGATGCAGAAGAGAGAATTCCTCTCTGGGGTCACCCAAAGCTCACACAACTTGGCCAGTCCATGAAGGTAACAATTCTCACTTGGTGGTGGCAGTGGCATTTTTATCCGCTGACTCCAATTCATTCAGCTCTGGATCAAGACTAACGGGGCTTGTGCCACAGACCACAAAGCCTGGCCCGTCAGGGGCGACACAAACAAGCAGCCCAGACATGGGGACTCCCCAGTTGCTTCCTCTACGTGACACCCTATTTTTCTGGAATGGAAGCCAGCATGCACGGTGATCACCTTATTAATATAGCATGATCCTAAGTTTATCAAAAGCCACAACATAACCCAAAGCCCAAAACCTCTGCATAGTGAGGCTACGGGGTGGCGGCTAGGAGCACTGACTTTCCAGCCAGTCCGCCGGGGACCAGACCTGGGTCCCCACATTGTCATGAACTGAATGGTGGTCTCCGCAACCTAAGTGTGTCCACCTGGACCCTGTGAGTGTAACCTAATTTGGAAAAGTGGTCTCTGCAGCTGTAATTAAGTTAAAAACCTTGAGATGAGATCATCTTGTTCTAGGTTGGGCCCCAGATCCAACGATAAGTGCCCATGTAAGAAAACAGAANAAGGATACCTAATTTAGCTCTTACTAATTCTGATCTATCGAAATTCTCCAGTCTGACTCCTTTGGCCATTCGGGCACATAGTGGAACTGAAATGTAGACCTGTGTTACCACCTCATCCTCTTCTCTCTCCTCCTCTTACATACAGACTGAAACATACACACAGTCCTTCCTCCTTCCCTCCCTTCCCTCCTTCCTTCTCTCCTTCCTTATCTATCCATCCATCCACCTACCTCTCTACCTCTACCCGCCTAGCTATCATCTATCTATCTGGACAGAACATTTTTCTGGCATCTAGGACACCTGTGTTGGTTCTGACTGCCACGTGTGATCGACAACGCGCTTCACCTGGGACCCTGGTTTCCTCATCTGGGCAATGACAGAATTGGAAACGATGGTTCCCAGGCTTCTTCCAGGGCCCCAAGTCTCTAAATACTCTGAGCTAAGCTGTTGGTTCGTACTTTAGTTTTCATATTATACTTCACAGGATATATTTAACAAGCTTTCATCTGAGAAATGGGTATAGTGTTTGCTATTTTGTTTAATGTCAAAATATGAATTTCAGCAAAAGGTGGCTAACTTCTCAAAGGATCTCTGTGAGCAAGATCTGCACGTGCACCCCCAGTGCATCGCACAAGCCCTCACGGGGCGAGCCGTTCCACAGGCAGCCGCGGGGCTTCTCTCTTCTCCAGGCAGGTCTGGGGGTCCAGACTCAGCCCTGCTGCCCACCCCGTGTGCCTCTCTCTGTAGCTTTTGATGTCCTCCTCTTGGTCCCAGTCACCTGGAGCAGAGAGCTCTGTAACACAGCT